CTCCCCCAGAGCACACCACCCCTCCAGATTACTTCTCAGGGAACTCTACCACTTTCTTTTGGAGACCAAAAACAGGCCAAGAAAAGAGGCAGAAAAGGAACCCAGCTGGGTCTGAGATGCTGCAACGATACTGGAAGCAGCAGGGAGCAAATCCAAGCCTTGGGAGAGAAGAAATGAAAACCTGAAGCCATCCAAGTGTGTAAACCAAGGGGGTTTAGTGCTGTTGGTGCTCTGGGCTGTGGGGATTTCTCCTCTGGCTTTGCAATCTGATTGGATTTGATCAGGAACAATGAGATATTCAGTATATTCTAAATGCACTTAAATCTCTCCAATGACACAAGGTAAAGATAATTTTTCCCTTCTGTGGTTTATCCTGCAAGTGAACAGTGATAAGGCTTGACAGAAACTATTGAATATTTTGCTCAAAATAAATTCAAAAGCCCCAAGAGCACATCCAGTGTAAGAAGAAGATAAATTCTTGCAAGAGGTTTCTTTCATTGTGTTGTCCCCAGAGCAGAACTCTGGATTATTGCAACAAATTTCAGGCTGGGCAGAGAAGAATGAGCTGCTGCATCCTGCCCTTCTGCTCTTTGTGAAGTGCTGAATTTGTTTAAATCCAGCTTGAAAAATCTAAATTAGCACGTCACAATTTCAAGGGGTTTTTTCTCTTTTCACAGCTTGATTAAACTATATTTTTGCAGGGGAAAAAAAAGACATACAGATTAAAGAAATAAGAATACAAGTGCTATATTTTAGTATTTTATATGTTCCATGTAAATTCCCAGCAGTTCAACAGGTGTGTTTAAAGACTGTGCTTATGTGCAGAGTTTGCAGAAATAATTCTGCCTAGTTAGGTTTGCTTTTTGTTGCCATTATTATTTATATGTACATAATGGCAAAGCCATAATAGGAGCCAGTTTGTGCTTTAGAAAAATAAAGTGAAAGCAGGAGTTGGGCTTCTAGCAACACTATATATTTCACATATAATTATATATATTTTATAAATATCAGCTTCACCAGTCAGAGTCCAACTTTGCAGTGACTCTGGAATTTTGGGGTCTTTTAGGGATTATTTATTTCTCCTGCACACCACAATTTATTACTCCAGTACCTCTATACCCTAAGTCTCCATCCCCTGTGTCGGTCCCCAGCCTACCTCAAGTCATTTTCCTTTGGCCCCATCATTAAAACACTTTATTTTCTTAATTCAATATATTTAATGCTCCCATTCCCTGTCTATCCCTCTTTACCATATTTCTTTATAAAATATTTTTAGTGATGGAGCAGTGATTTTAGTGATCCTCCTGAGGAAGGATTTATGTGGCTCAGCTCAGAGCTGTGCCTGGGGGCTTTGGTATTTGGAATATCTGGAATTGCTTTTTCTTATTGTTTGGGACCCTCCTCATTGTTTTTTCTTTTATTTAAAAATAATTTAAATCCAAGTGTACTTTGCAAATTTGATCCATAGAAAGAGAAGCACCATTTCAGTCTGATCAAGCCAAAATCCTTCTACTGGCTCTGTAACACTTCCCCACGTAAAACCAGCCATCAGATCAGCTTTTATTTTGCCTAAATGTGCTGGGATTGCACATGGAAGACTCTGCTTGGCCGAGTGGCAGCAGGATTGTGCAAGAAACGATTTTATCTGATTCCCAAATGAAGAGTTGAGGCCGTGGAGGCTGAATTTTCCCATTAGATGGCAGCAGCTGCAGCAATTCCTCCCCACTGCAATATTGCTGCTGCAGGGAAGGACCTGGGAGCTCCAACAGGGCCCAAAGTGGAAGCTGAAAAAAAAAAAAGAATTCCCAGAACAGCAGGCAGAAAGAAATGTCTATCTTATTCCCCTGGAAATCATCTCTAGAAAAAAAAGGATAGAGTTTGTGCCCAAAGCATGAGTTACTACACTCCAAACTTGGAAATTAATTTTTCATTGCCAGGCTGGGAGAAACACGGGGCAGGGAATAAATCACACTGGAAAAAAATGGGCAGCATGTTGCACTTGAAAGCATCTTTCACCTTTAATAATTCACATTCCAGCAAACATTCCCACTCTGGGATCAAAGGCACCGCTCCTTTGCAAGCCATTAAATGCCTGCACAGTATTTGGAAGAGGATCAAGGCCTGGGATATTAATAGCAAGAGGGAAATGCATATTTGTTTGGACCACAGGATAGATTTTTTTTTTTTTTTTAATCAGGTGGTTTCCTTTTAAGCTGTTTGAAATTCCTCAAGGCACTCCACAAGAATTAGAGGAGCTGCCTCAGCCAAGCCAAGATTGGGAAGATCTCGGATCCCAGCCCAAAGTCAGCAGGGATTTACCATCATGAATCCACCTTGGAAGCAGAGAACCCACACGAGCTTCTGACAAGTTGGAACAAATCTTCAACCACAGCTTTCAGTGCCCCAGCCGTGGGATTTGGGTTTTGCCCAGGAGTGTTTCCCAGAATTTCACCCCATTTCCCTGGAAAGGCAATAAAATTGAGACGAGGAGACAATCCCACTCCCCTGGGCTGGGATTGACAGGGCAGGAAATGCAAACCTGAGGAGAGGAAGTCCTTTTTCTTGCAATGTTTAATTCATCTGCAGAACTCAGCGCTGCAGGAAGTTGTTGAGGCTGAGAACTTAAACAAGGCTGAAATTTAAACAAGGTTGCTCTAAAGGGTCTGATGGAAGAGGGGGAGTGGAATGAGATGATCTTTAAGGTTCTTCCAACCCAAACCATTCCAGGATTCTACAAAAATGCATCGGAGAGGTACCAAAAACACCCTTCACACCCACAATCAAGAGCTGACTGATTATATGTTTAATTGCAGTTAAATACTGAAGCTCATGCCTGAGAGTAGGGTGAGGCTGAGACCCCTGGCTCCTGCACTCTCCCAAGCTTTTCATACCAGGGGTGCGTCCAGGGACCTTCTCTTGCCCCATCTCCAGCCCTTTACTCCTCGAAGCCTTTCCCACAATTTTTAGGGCTTTCCCACATATTTTTAGGGGGTGTTAACTGTGTGCTCAGTGCTTGTCACTTGACCTGTGGGAATGGGCACCCATGTTCCACTTGGGGTGGGGATAAGTGGGGTTCAGGGGGATAAATGGGTCTCCCAGAGGGTGCTGGAGGGTCCAGGGGGCTGTGGGGTGATACTGGGGACTAATGAGGTGCTGGGGGGTGGAGGAAGGTGTTAGGCATGCTGTGGGATATGGCTGTGAAAGATTTTGGGGGTTCTGGAGGGTGTTGGATGTGCTGTGGACTCAGGAAGACATTAAAGGTTCATGTGGGTGCTGTGTGGAATGTCTCAAGGTGCTGATGGGGGTTCAGGTGTTTCTTTGGGGGATCTGTGAGTGATGGGGATCAGGCAGGTGCTGGGGGTGGTCACAAGGTATTTATGGGCTCAGGTAGGTCCTGGTGGCATTTCTCTGTGTAATGAGGGGGTCAGGCAGTTGTTTGGGATGGTCTCAAGGTATTTATGGGCTCAGGTAGGTCCTGGTGGGGTGCCTGTGTGTAATCACAGGGTCAGGCAGTTGTTTGGGATGGTCTCAATGTATTTATGGGCTCAGATGGATGCTGGGAGGGTCTTAGGGGTCCTGAGGAGCTCTGATGATCCAGGGGAGCCTCAGGCTGGTCTGGGTTTGGGATAATCATGGACTGAGATGGGTGCTGGAAAAGGGGGTCTCCATATTCTCGGCTGAAATGTGTGTGGGGAGTCTCAGGGGGCATCGGGGGTGCCAGCAGGGAGGGATGTGGGTGCTGGGGGCTGTTGAGAGGTACCAGGGTGGTTGGGGATCCTGAGGAATGTTGGTGGCCCTGGGGCTGGCGTGGGTGTTGGGGGTTTTTGGGGGTCCTAGGACAGTGTTGGTGGTCCCAGGCGGTGTTGGGGGTCCTGAGGGATGTTTGTGGCACTGCAAGGCCCTGAGGCTGGCGCAGGTGTTGGGGGGTCCTGGGGGTTTTTGGGAGTCCCAGGACAGTGTGTTGGTGGTCTCAGGGTGGTGTTGGGGGATCCTGAGGGGTGTTTGGGACAGCAGAGGGACAGGTGTTGATGGGGTCCTGGGGAATGTTGAGGCTTTGGGCTGAGCAGGGTGTTTGGAGTCCTGCACAGTGTTGGGGGACCCAGGCTGGCCCGGCCCCGGGTGGTGAGGGGGTCCTGGGCAGGGCTGGGTTCCCTGGGCGGTGTTGGGAGTCCCAGGGAGTGTTTGTGTTCCTCGGACCGTGTTCCCTGAGGGATGTGGCCGACCCGGGCGGTGTTGGGTCCCCGGGAAATGTGGTGGTCCCCGGACAATGTGGGGGTTCCCCGGCCAATGTGGCGGTCCGGGGCAGTGTTTGTTCCCCGGGAAATGTGGGGGTTCCCCGGGGCGGCCTTGGTTCCCTGGGCAGTGCGGCGTCCCCAGGCAGTGCTGGGGTTCTCCGGACGGTGTTCTCTGGGCGGTGTGGCGGTCCCCGGGCAGTGTCGGTTCCCCTGGGCAGTGTTGGTTTCCCGGGCAATGTAGGAGATCCCTGGGTGGTGTTGATTCCCCGGGCGGTGTTGGTTCCCCGGGCACTGTCGGAGATCCCCAGGCACTGTCGGAGATCCCCTGGCGGTGTCGGTTCCCCGGTCAATGCGGCGGTCCCTGGGCAGTGCTGGATTTCCGGGCAGTGTTGGTTCCCCGGGTAATGTGGCGGTCCCTGGGCAGTGTTGGTTCCCCGGGCAGTGTTGGTTCCCCGGTCAATGCGGCGGTCCCTGGGCAGTGCTGGATTTCCGGGCAGTGTTGGTTCCCCGGGTAATGTGGCGGTCCCTGGGCAGTGTTGGTTCCCCGGGCAGTGTTGGTTCCCCGGTCAATGCGGCGGTCCCTGGGCAGTGCCGGTTTCCCGGGCAGTGTTAGCTCCCCGGGTAACGCGGTGATCCCCGGGCAGCATGCAGGCCCCGGGCCGTGCCGGAAGCCGGAAGCGGGGCGAGGCCGTGCCCGCCCCGCCGCGGGAGGAGCCGGGGCCGGGGCCGGAGCCGGAGCGGAGCGGGGCGGGCGGGGCCGCAGCCGGAGCGGGAGGAGCCGCCGGGCGGGACGCGAGCGGGGTGAGGCCGCGGGCACGGGCGGGGGTCGCGGGGGGCCCGGATTGCGGCCTCTGACCGCGGGCTGGGCCGGGGGGATCCCCGGCTTGGGGAGGCCGGGGTGGGGGGTGTCCTGCTTAGTTTACTGATTTATTTTTAAGAATAGCCCCTGGCTAGGGCTCCTCTGCCTCAGAAGAACACGGGCGAGGCCGTGGGGCTGTGGCCAGGTCAGGATCCTTCCGGAGCGGTTTCAGAGCAGGGCTGGGACCTGATCCCCTGGCAGGGCGAGAGAGGCGGCATCAAGCAGATGGGAATATATTTTTATATCTAAATCTATATATATGTACATCACTGTAGGTTCACCCGCAAGGCAAGCGAGCTTTCCCTTTTAAAGACTCCTCCAGCACCGTTTCTGTCTAAATATTTACCTTGTAAAGCCTTGGACTAACCACGCTGGGGTCTGTGGGCAGAGCTGGGTGCTGGGGTGCAAACCCTGCCAGCCAAGTGCCATCACTGTTTCTGTTCCTGGAGAGAGCTGCTGATTCCTCCCGGGGTGCTGGAGTTCATAAAAAACCAGAATAACATATGGGTTCCTCCTTCAAAGGCCTCTCTCTAAGGGGTTTGCAAGGGATGAGCCCTGCTCAGTGTGTGTGATGGCAATGAGGGTACAGTAGCCTGTTGTTATTATTTTGTAGGGATAGGAAGGGAAATAATGGGTTGCTATTTGTTTTTTCAGGCCTCATCTGTTCTCCCAGCAATGTGGGAGCATAATGCCTTATTTCCTAGCTGGAGGATTGAGTTACTCTTGAATTTGTCAAGGAGCTGGATTGGGTTTTCAGTGCCTGTGATTTACAGGGGCTGTCTACAAAGGTGTTTGCTCAGAGTGGAATGTAAATGGAGAGGAGTGGGAGCTGGGATGTATCTCAGTGTTGTATTTTAGCAGGATTTTTGTGTTGTTTGGAAAAGGGGAAACCACAGTGTTTGACAGCATTTCTGTGGGGATGTTTGTTATAAGTGGTTCCAGGCAGAGGCTGCAAGCAGGAGAAGCTTGTTGAATCTGCTGGAATTCTGGGACAGCTTCAGAGGGGAAAGCTTTGGCACTCAGGAGCCAGAGGACACCAGATAATCTTTCAGACCACTTAGCACAGCACTTACAGTGTCCAGGCAACTGGAGTAACCAGAAAAGCTGGAGAGGGGGGGGAAAAAAGGCCTTTAATATCCTGCAGATGTGCTGGCTCCTGCTTGTTCCATGAATTAGGGTATTGCATGAATGAAAAAGTTAGTAAAGCTTGTTTTTATTGTCACGTGCATGGCAGGTGCTTTACAGATGAGAAAAAAAAAGTTCTTGTCTTGGAGAGGTTAATATGAGATATTATAGACCCAACCTGCTTTGCTTGCCCATGGGGCTGCTCAGGTGACAAGATCTGGGACAAATATTTGCGTGGAATGCAGGGAATGCTGGTAGAAGAGGGCCAGGAGCTAATTAACCTGGTAATGCAGTGCAGTATGTTCTCAGAGTTGGGTTTTAATTTGGCATTTTTACCTTTTTGGTGTTTCTGTGGCTGTGGCTAGAAATTTGACACTGATGTTAATATAACATCTGACATTAACTGCTGGAGTTGAATGCTTAGGCAGCTGCTGAAACAAATCAGGGTTATTTTTCAGCCAGATAATTTTCCTGATCTGATGCTCCATGTGACCACATAAACAAGTGTGAAAGGGCAGAACAGATCTTGTGGGGAGAAGAGCAACCACTGAAGCTGTGAAATGTGGGGATTTTTGAAAATACATCCCAGTGTTGCACTAAAAAGAAGATATTAACATCCCCCTTGCTTGAGTTGTGACTTGTAGGTGGTTTAGGGGGAGAGCTGTCAGCCAGCTCTTTAAAGGCAAACCAGAGTTCAAATATGAGCCTTATCATGTCTGTAGTTCTGTCCATACATAGAGCTGTGGCTGATTTGTGCCGTGGGAGCAGCCAGGACAAATGACAGCTGAGCAAATCTGAGTTGAGGTGGTTTGTTACTCAGGGCTGGTCAGTGTGTGCTCAGGTGAGCAGAACCCTGTCAATAATTGCAGTTCTCACAGGGCAGGGACAGAATTTGGGGAGCAAAGTGGTGAATTGGGTGAAATGGATTCATGAGTTGGTTCCTGGGGCTAGGAAGCTGTAAAACAAAATGGGGACAGGGGTGTGATTTCAGTTTTCAGCTGTGATTATTGTGTTTTTTATGTGATGATCCTCAGGCTGTGCTCTCAGGGCAGAGCATTGCTCAACTCTCCCCCAGCTGGCCCAGTTTGATCAGGTTAGTGTTACCCACATCAGAAACGAGAGGCAAAGCAAAACTCTGCAGATTCTGCCTTTCCCCCAGGCGGTGCCAGTGCTTTCTCCCAGATAATGAGAAAAGTTTTTACAGCGTGATTCTCACATTGGCATCTTGTACCTTGTCCAGCAATTTCTTTACATCTTTTCTTGAGCCCATCAGCTGCTCTCAAAGAGGCCTTTGTGGCAGAGTGGTAGAGGAATATACTTTTTTTTTTATTTGTTTTTTTGCAACTTAACGTTGATCTCTCATGGGTGTGTTCTTATATAAGTGAGAAATAATTTGCTGTCAAATGCCATTTTGTCACCCAGCACAGTGCAGTTCTTGCTGGGATATTTAGTTCTGTGGCATCTCTGACCTGCAGGCAAGCTTGCAGAGGAAGGTGGGGGCTTTGCTGCCTGCAGGGCAGCTGCTCTCACGTCGCTCTTACTCAATAATCGGTTGGCTTTGACATTAGGTTGCGAAAATTTAAACAAATTGTAATCTGCCGAACTTTGCCCGACGCTTTCTGCTTGTTTCTCTGTCCTGTCCCGGTGCTGACGGGGGATTTAATGAAAACAAATCCGGGTTAAAATAAGCCACTGAAATCGTAGCACGGGAGGGCTTAGCAGGGCTGCTGTGTGTGGTGATCAGCTTTGCATTGTTGGCTTTTGTACTCGGTGAGCAATTGCTTTATGGGACGGATTCATTTGGAGGAGATGAATAAATGGAGTTTCATGGATTGCTGGGAAGCTTTGTTCATTTACATAAGCTGCGAATCTCGGCCGGTTCTGCCCTTGTCAGGGAATTTCACGGCTTCTTTGAGTCAGTGGGAGATCCTGAAGCAGCAGAGGCTGTTAGGAGTGCAGCTCAGTGTTGTGCTGTTGGTTGGGAGCAGGTTTGCTCCAGAGGATCCTTCCTTCTTTCCTGGGCACTGCCACATTCCTGGCATGGCTGTGCTGTTGGGTTGTGTGGCTGCAGGTGATTTCTGTTAACACACCCCATCTCTCCTCAGGGATTTCTCCTCAGAGGCCATGGAGCTTTCAGCCAACGAGCTCAGCATCTATGACAAGCTCTCAGAGACCATTGATCTGGTGAGGCAGACTGGCCACCAGTGTGGCATGTCAGAAAAAGCCATTGAGAAGTTCATCAAGCAGCTCTTGGAAAGAAACGAACCCCAGAGGGGCCCCCCACGGTACCCTGTCTTAGTGGCTCTCTACAAGGTAAGATGACTTTTGTGCATGAACACAGCATTTGATGGTGTGTTTTTATTTCCCTGAGCTTTTTATTTCCCATTGCATTTTCTTGATGAATTTTCCACTGTGAAGTGTAGCTTCCTTCCTTCATGCCTTGAGCTGCTTTGAGGACGGCTGCCCAAGTTTTGGAATTGCTCATATGTGCTGTAAATTTACATTGTCCACATCTTCCTTTCCCATAAATTATTAAATAATGGGATTTGGATTGATTTTTCAGATTAAGATTCTCAGTGTTGGCATCCTGAATGGAGATGTGAGGAAGGAAAGAGATTCTTGAAGTTCAGGGTTGAGTCCTGAAGTGAGCATGGCTCTGTTTCTGACCCTGTCACAAACTTCTACATGTCTTTATTCTCCTTCTGGTCTATGAAATAAAGCTATTATCATCATGCTTGATGATAGAAAAGTGTTTTAAAAACTTTAACTAAAAGATTCTGTAAAAACTTTTGCAAAGTGAGTGAAAGGATGCTGTTGTTAGGTAGGTTTGAGACCATTCAATCCCAGATTGATTTGGTTTGGAAGAAATCTTGAAGATCATCCAGTTCCAAGTCCCTTCCATGGGCAGGACGCCTTCCACTGGACCAGATGTTTGCTTCAAGTCTAAAAATCTTCCCACTGACATAATATTCAGTAATACTTTAGTGTCATCTCTACAAATCCATTGCAATGGATTTTATTTGGAAAAAAAATTCAAGCTCTCTTCCTCGTGCCCTATAAAAAGCTGTAAAATGAGGCAGGAGAACAGGAAACTGCAAATTTGAACTTTCAGCTTCTGTTCTTGTTTTTGCTGTTGATTCAGTTTGACTTTGGCCAGGGGGAGAAATGCGTCATGTCATCTCTTTAAGGCTTATTTGGGATTCTGGTATGGAGGAGGGAGCTGGTGCCAACTCTGCCAAAGTATTTCGAGGCTTGACGGATGTTTGCAAAAGCCACAGGGCTTTCCTTGTGTAAGAGGCATGGCAGGAGTGCAAGCTTTTATTTGATTAGGTAGGGAAAAGGAACTATCTGTAGATAATCCTGATTGATCTCATGCTGGATTATTTGCAGTGCTAAAATACAGGAACAGAGCTGTTTGTGTGGCTTGGGTTTGGAGGCTGCTTAATTTCATCCGTGGACAGCCCTAATAATAAAACTGGCTGACAACTCTGTGCACATAAATAGCATTGCAGCTGAACGAGGAGACACAGCAAAAATAAGGAATGTTCATGGTGTGCTGCACAGCCACAGCCCTTTGATAGCAGCAGAAGGTGTGTCCTGGTGTGAGGACACCTCAGCTCCTTGCAGTGTGATTAACTCTGTGCCTGTTTTCCCTTGCAGGGACTGCTCACCCTGGGCCTGGTGTTGCTGACTGTTTACTTGGTGATCCAGCCCTACAACCCTCTGCCACCTGAAGCACCACTCTCCAGAGCCCAGGCCTGGGGCTCCCTCGTCGGGCACATCCGCCTGCTGTCCCTGCCCATTGCCAAGAAGTACATGTTGGAGAGTAAGGAAATGTTTTCCCTGCTAGAACATAAGCCTGGCAAGAAATACCAACTTAAATACCAGCCACGAGAGTCACTCGAATGTCTCCAGGGTGCCACAAATGTGTTGCTGGCTTGGCATCATGGTTTTCTCTTTTCCTACCACTGAACTTAAAAATAGCAGCCTGAGTTCTAGCTTCACTGGGACTGAAGCATATTTTATCTCTAACTTGATAATTTTCTTCTTGCACATTCTCTTTTCCTTGCTTTTAACACCTCGGGTCTTTCTTCCACAAGAGTTCCCTTTTCTCTAGAAATCTTTGCACTTCTGAGAACCAGAACTGAGATAGCTCTGCTAGGGAAATGTCACCTTTTCTTGTTTTTTTTCTGAGTAAGGCAAAACCAGTTTCTCAACCAGATCTTGATATCTGTGAGCAAAGTGTAAAAACCTCAACTTGTGGCCTGGTTTAAGGAAAAGGAATTTTTGCCAAGTGGCATATTGTGAAAGGCCTGGGGGATTGAGTGCTGTCATGTTTATGTGACATTAAGGGCAATGTGTGTGTGGGAGGAAGTCAGATAAGGGTTCCCTGTGAGGTGATCCCATCACAGGAGAGCAACATCCGAGATTTTCCTAGAATGGCACAATAGAAATGGAAAAGTTTGGCTATTTCTCATTCTTGGTTAATCATTTCACTTAGCCTGGCAGGTGGGTGCAAGCCTGGGCTCTGCCTCTGCTGGAACACAAAGACTGTCAGTGATGATAAAGCTGTGAATTATTTTGAGCAGGGATGTGGCACACTGTAAAAACAAACTCCTGTAGCCGTGCCCTTGTCATGTTTATATTTAGCCTGGGCACCTCATTGTGTTGGAGATGTCTGTGTTGGCTCTGACCTTCCTGCCAGAGCTAAAAAGGGCTCCCTGAAATGCCAGCACCATTCTGCATTCTCTCCCTCCCTCTTGCTGACATGGGATTTCTGTTGATTCCAATTTGTATGGGTGGGACAGGGTATCCCCCATTGTTCCTGTTATTCCTCATGATTTGGGATATTCTGGGAGTGAAAAACAAAGGTGAGAAGATGGCTCTGATAAGCACTTGACATTAGGAGCCTGCTTATCTGCTTCATTCCAGCTTTTCCATGGGTGAACACCCCCTGCTCCTGTATTGAGGTGGAATCCAATGGGAATTTTAATGCTCATTTCACTTTTTACAAAGGCCTGGAGTGACAGGACAAGGGGAAATTAGCTAAATATGAAGGCAGGTTGGATGTTAGGAAGAAATTCTTCCCTGTGAGGGTGGGGAGGCCCTGGCACAGGCTGCTCAGAGAAGCTGTGGCTGCCTCATCTCTGGAAGCTTTCAAGGCCAGGTTGGACAGGGCTTGGAGTCACCTGGTTCAGTGGAAGGTGTCCCTGCCCATGGCACAGGGTGAAGCAAGGTGAATTTTAAGGTCCCTTCCAACCCAAACCATTCTGTGGTTCTGTTGTGTTTGTTCAATCAGATTTTGTCCAGAAAGTTGACAGGTTCTTCCTTCAGCTACCACAGGGTCCCTTTGGATGAGAAGAGCCCAGGGAGGTTCCTTGGCACAGCTAAAGTTTGTAGGACAAGAGCTGCCTAAAACCATGAGGATCTCCTTGTCAAGATAAATAAGAGCAGGAGCAGTTCTGGCCTACCTTTGGAAAAATCAGCTGAATGATGAGATGGGGAAACATCCAGAGGAACAAGGGAAAAGGGAAGGATGGAGTGTTGTTATTTAAATGCACATAAAATTCCTCATTTCTCTGAGTCCTGTAAGTCTTCAGAAGTGATGAGCAATAGGATGGGCGGCAATCCAGTTCTGGGGAAAAGAGGAGAGGGGAGAGGCAGTTCCTGCTCTGTTTTGCACAGAATTAGGTTGTGGTGGAAGCCACAGCATGTCCCAATTAACAGATTGACTTGGGGTTGGCTGGAGTGACTTTGATCCTGGACAAGACCCTGGCTATTTAAATGGGAGAGTGCAGCACCCAGGCTGAACCTTGGCTGGGTTCCTGTGGGAATCCCTCATGTCCTGGCTTCCCAGCAGGCAGCTGCAGCCACTGACACTGTCCCAGTGACACTGGTGTCACCATCACAGCTTGCTGCCCAGAGGACACTGGTGAAGCCATCCAGCAGGGATCTGGAAAAAGGAGTTCCATGGCTTGGGGCTGAGTGCTCCCCCAAGCCCTTTCAGCCTTACTTTTTTGTTTGTTGTATTATTTTGCCCCTAATTTTGGCCTTGTGGTCTGCTGAAGGGAAGGGGTAAAGCTGAATTTTGTGTCTTCTTTGTTGATGAGAGTTTAAGTCCAGGAGGTCTTGCAGGCAGGTCTGGTGTTCTCTGATCACAGAATGCCAGAATAGTTTGGGTTGGGAGGGACCTTTGCAGATCACCCAGTCCAACCCCACTGCCAAGGCAGGGTCACCTGGAACAGGTGGGTTTGGGATGGGTACAGATGGGGGGACATGACCTCCCTGGCAGCTGTCCCAGTGCTCTGCCACCCTCCATGGAAAGCAGTTCTTCCTCAGGTTGAGGTGGAATTTCCTGTGTTTTACTTTGTGGCTAAAACATGTTGTTGGGCACCATGGAGAAGTCTGGCACATCCTCTTGGCATCCCTTGGAGATATTTATATGCCTTAATGAGATCCCCTCTGAGTCTCTGTCTCTGGAAGGGAGATGTTTGCACTGTGCCTGAGCAGCAGAGAAAACCACTAATGAAGGGACTCAACGTACAGACTCTTCCTTTCCCAATCTGGGTTCTGGGAAGAAAATTCTGAGGGGGCTGAGGATGGAGCTTGGAGCTTTCTGTGCTTGGGCACCAGTTCAAAGCCAGCTTGGGCTGTTCCTGTTGGAAACCACCTGTTGTCAGCTGGAGGCTGTGCTGGCACACGTTACCCTGCCATGGGCACGGGTGGTCTGGCTCCTTCCTCTGTGCCTGGGCAGGCAGGGCCAGCCTGGGCTGTGCTGTGCCCCCTGAGCTTTGGGGAGCTTTCCTGTTGAGGTTGTGTTCCTGTTGAGGTTCTTGAGGTTCTGTTCCTGTTGAGGTTGGAGGCTGCTCTGCTGGGAGGTGTGGGCTGAGCAGCCAGGTTTGTGTTGCAGAACAAGGGCAGCTCAGTTGTTGGGTTTCCCCTGGGAGCCAAGAGCTCCAGTCAGAGTCATGGTGAGGCTTTGGGAGGTGCAGAGGTGCAGGATGTGCTCTGCCCTCCCTCCTGCTGATGATGACCTGCCCTCCCTCCTCGTGCCTTCCTTGTGGGTGACAAGGGCTGTCTGTCTGTCAGTGGCTGTGGGTGGACCTTTGAGCAGCCGAGGTGAGGAGCAGCATCCACAAAACTCTCTTGCATTGTTTATAGGATTGAGTCCAAAGTAAATTTCCTTTTTGCCTGTCTCTGTGCTCTCTTTCTTGCTGACTTTTTTTCCCCAAATCGATTCCCATATTAAACCTTATGTTCCCACCCTTTGTTCCTTGATAGCTGACTCTTAGACCCTTGGGTCTGTGCCTCTCTTCCAGCTGTTTTCCCAGGGCAAGATCCCTGTGGTTGGGGAAAAGCTCTCTGGAAATGTGGTTTGCATTTGCTCTTCCTGAGCTGGTGTTTATGCAAGCCCTGTTGCTGGGTCACATTGGCTGCTCTTGGCACATCATTCCTTCATTTCTAACCCCAGAGAGGTTCTAAATGGCTCTGGGCTGTCAGACCTCTGGGTCTACCTGCTGTAAAGAACACTGTATTTTGATGGGTTAACTCACAGCTATCTAATGCTATTCCAGGAAAATGTAGGGCCTGTGCATTGTGGATTAATTTCTCACACAGGCTGGGATGGAGTTTGTGTGGAGTTGTTGTTTAAATGCACATAAAATCCTTCATGTCTCTGTGAGTCCTGTAAGTCTTCAGAAGTGATGAGCAATAGGGTGGGCAGCAATCCAGATCTGGGGAAAAGAGGAGAGGGGAGATTCCCTCTGTGTTTCAGTTCTCTGGTGCAAAATAGGGGTACAAGTGCTCCTCTCTCCCAGCATTTGGAAGCATTAGGAATACATGAGCTATCAAAGTGTGCAGTAAAGCCAAATGAAAAAAGGGGCTTTTCTATTATTTTAACAGAAATTTTAAAACCACACTGGTGATCACTCTACCTTATTTTTCTTTCCTTCACAACTGTGTCATCCCTATAGCTTTGTTAATATCTAAATATGATTTTTGATGTCAGCTGGTTGGTAACTGCTCCCTGTCAGCCATGCAATGATGTGATGAGCAGAGCATTAAGCTGCTCTCACATTAACTCACATGTCTGCCCATGGTAAGTTCAGTCCTTGCAGCTCAAAAACCTCAGCAGAGCACATCTGTCAGTGGGGAACAGGCTGTGACCCAATGTGACAATTTGCACGTTGTACTGGTAGCAGGGATTGTAATGACCTCGAAGAAAATCCAGTTTTTCTTTTAATAATGACACTTGGTCCTGGGCACACTCATCCTGCACAGTCCAGAATCAGCTGGGTCAGTAAATGCTCAGCACACCTAAAATGAGACAAAAGCACACATGGATCTCAGTGCTGGAAAAGAGCTCCTGTGCAACTTATCCCCAGCTTGGAGGAGAAGTGTTAAATTCCTCTTTTTGCCTAGACCAGTAGGGCTAAAATCATGTTTACAGCTTTATGTGTAATTATTGTAGAGAAAGGAGCCCAGCTGGAGGAGCAGTGTTTAGCAACACCTTGTAAATGGCCTGTCAGTGTGTTACTAAAGCCTGCTGGGTGCCAGAGCTATTTGTGGGGATGGGTCACAGCAGGCTGGGTTACTGGGGGAGGGCAGCAGCTGGTTACTGGGAGAGGGCAGCAGCCTCTGCCTCTTGGCTGGCCCACCTTGGGTTTAGCTGGAGGCTTGCCTTGGCACTTGGCCAGCCCCTGTCTCTTCCCTGATCTTAACCCTTTGCAGGCAAAACACTTTTCCCTATGCTTCTCTCACTCCAGCCTTGGAGAGTTTTAATCCTTGGCACTGATTTGTGCAAAAGGGGAGCATCCAGCATGCCTG